GTAACCTAGTTGGAAATTTTGTTTACTTATACAAAGAATTTTTTTTTTATCAACATACAAAGAAAATTTACATTCTTTCTTTAAAATGGTTGCATAAACCTCTAAATTCTCTATGAACTCTCTCAGTTTTCTCTAGTTTCCTTAAATTTAACAACGAAATTTAGTTTCATTTTTTTAGTTTTTGTCACATGTCTTTCTCATTGTTTTTGTATGTATTTCCATTCAAAATTTCTTTCTCCCTACCCAAAATTGAAAAATTTGGATCTTTTAAATGTACATGTATATATATATATATATATATATATATATATATATATATATATATATATTCAAATAAGGTTATAGTTCGAAACTCCACAAGTCTTTGATAAAAATTTGGTTTGAAAATTCCATTTTTGAAGTTTTTCTAATTTGAAGTAATTTTATGTTTTTAGGTGTACAATTTTAGATACTTCAAATGAAGTCTATTAAAATATGAGTTTTTCTGTCTTATGTCTTTTTAATAATTTTTACTAAAATTCTACTAGTAAATTTTCTATGATCTTCATCTTCTCCTCTCAAAAATATACAATTCAAATCTATAAATTTTAAATACCTATTTTGTATTTACATTCAAATAAATTTATAGATTCAAATTTATATTTTTCTTTTGCGACTAATTTAACGTAATCATACTATTTTGAAGTTTCAGATTGGAAGTTATTTTCACATTTTATAGATATACAAAGTTTTAGATATAAAAAATACTTGATACAATATACTTCAAACGAAGTTTATTAAACCATAAATTTTAAGAAAGTTTCTTATAAAGTCTACTAAAATATGATTTTAAAATTTTTTATGTTATGTATTTCGCATAATTTTATCTCATTTGCAGGTATTATCTTCCATGGTTTTCATATTTCTCTCCCATATATTGTAGATTTAGATTTATACTTTTAGTTTTTTTTTGTGTTTTTAGTCAAATAAAGTTATAGATTTTTGAGTTTTATTTGCTTCTATATTCGCTTAAAATATATTTTTGAAGTTTTTTTAGATTTATAACTATTTTCATGTTTTCTAGGTGCACAAATTTCGAGCTCTTAAATCTCTAGATATAGTAGACTTATGATGTAGTTTGATTAAAAGTTAAAACTAGTAAAATTCAAACGAAGTTTCTAATACCCTCGGTCCTACATAAGACCAGAGAGACATTCTATGGACAAATATAATTGAGGTTCAGATGAACCATCAACCTGGATACTCCATAGGTATGGTCGGGAGGTCGGGTCAGAAGCTTGGTTAGCTTATGTGACCCAAACATTGTCTCTTGTAGTCCATGAAGAGTGTGTGTTAGATTAGAGCTAGTTTATGTAGCTGAGGTTAGCTCAATGTGTAGTACGTCATCTCGGACCAGCTAGGTGTCCAGCTTAACCAGCTCGTCGACCAACTAGATCAACTTAGGCGGTTGGGTCGAGTAGTGAGATAGTTACGGTCGGTCCGACCATTACTCCAGATTTGGTTGGTGGGGTTGAGTTGTTAGGCGTCTAGGTTAGGGTGTTCCAAATTAAGATAAATTACTTTAGATTTGATCTTAGCCAAGGGCAGTTAGCGTTAGGTATTTGGGTGGTTATGGACAAGGGGAATAAGTTCATGGGTGAATGGGAATCAGTGCAAGGACAAATGGAAATGAGTAGAACTCGCACCATTTCGACCCTTGAAAAATGGTGATACATCGATCATTTCCCCTTCCCTATACAATTAGGGCCTAGTGTCATATACTTCTTCCAATTTAAAAAGGTGGATGTTTTGGAGTTTTTACATAAATTAAAAAAGAATTGATTATAAATATATTATTTTGTGATTAACTATTTCTTTTATAATTTTTAACCAATCAAAATTTATTTTAGACTAATAAATATTTGGAGTTTAATGTCTACCATTATTATCTAATCAAAATGTATTGAAGATCTAAAAATATATAATTTTAAACAAACTTTTATATAAAATATGAAGCATTTGAAATAGAGGAAATATATCTTCTTCTTTTTTTTGTCAAGGAAATATATCTTATAACAGTTAATTTAAATAATTTAAAAGTATATGATTTCTATTAAGACCATTTGTGACATCTAGTCTTGGGAACAACAAAAAGATTATCATCACCACATTTTTTTTTGGTCACTATCACATTCTTTCTTTATTTTCTTCTTTTCCAACTTAGTTTTCTATTTTATCCTTTGATCCATGTGTATTCTTTTTTTTTCCTCTGAATGATTCCATTTGATTCAAACAGAAATCACACAGGAGATAATTCTAAGCTAGCAGGACACATAACGTTCGAACACAAAGGCCAACAGAATTTATAAAATTCTCCGAGTACAAACATCTTATCTTATAAAGTTATGTTTTTTCTCTCCTCTTAGAAAAAAATGACACATGGCAGTTAACTTTCATTTGTTTTGCTGTTTAGATTTAACTTTCGTTTGGGGTTTTATATATTGTTTTGTCAAGCCCAATAAAACTTAGAGTTTTCTTGCCTTCAGCGACCTTCGTAACTAACAGTCAATTGTTTCAGAAAACTAAATCGATAATGAACTCACCGTAACGTCTCAACCTCCTAATCTATTGGGCCAGCGGCTTCTTCTCTAACCTCTGGCCTTCATCATCTTCTCATGTACCTTTTCTCTGTCAAGCTTTACAAATCTCCCATTCGAAAGCGCTTCTTGGTTAGTTAACACCATTATGTCCTTCGATCATGGATCCCAACTACGCGTTCATTAATTAGCCTCACACAACTCCTTTGTTACTCCCAATTTCTAATACTATAAAGGACACTAAAATCTCAGTGCTATTTATCATCTCGTGCTTGCAAAGTTGAAGTCTTGTCATCGTAGGGAGGAAATTATACCTGGTTACTTTGGTTTTAGGAGGCAAGTAGTGTGAGAAAAGGAGGGGAACTCATGGAGGCTGACATGTAGCTGCTTGATGAAACGGTTTGCCTGTAAATGGTTTCCTATGTTTTTTATCAAAAAAAGGTTTAATGGTTTCGTATGTCACATGGCAGAATGTTTCTTTATTTGTCGATGATCTCCCTACTTAGCATGTTGTAAAGTGATTTTCATCCACTGACTGTAGTAGCTGGTTTATCATCCACTTCTACAGGACTCGACAAAAATGTGGCTTTTTATATTTACATGTGCTATGATCTGACACTCTGGTCCATAACAGCGTTTTAGCTTAGTTCTCCCAGGTTATCTCTTTAAAAAACTGAGCAGTGAATTTGACGGTGTTGTAATCTTCTTACTTATTCCAACTATTCTTTGATTCAACTGAAAATCATTCCATGTGCAGATAATTTATGCACCTTCAAGCAAGAAATGTTTGTGAAATGTTCCATGTACGTATTCTTATCTTAAGGTTTAATATTTAAGGGTTGAGATTAGGGTTCAATATTTAGGGATATGGGTAGATTTAGGGTCATATACTACTTTGATGATAAAAAAAACTTCTTTGTATACACTCATTTTACTGCATACAGTGAGCAAGTGTGATGTGGTATGCTATACATGAGGTGATTGTAAATAGTGATGTTTTACGCCTATCCATATCTCCAAGCGGCGACGTCATCCACTCTCTCTTTTCACCGAGTACTTATAAAAGGGGAGGCTATAACTAGATAAAATTCGGAGTGGATGTTAGTTACTTAATACCATTAAATCAGTGGTATAGATTTAAATTTTATTCAGAATTGAGTTATTGAGCAAATTTTCCCTTTCTAAAGAATGGTTATTACTTAATTACATTTTAAAACAATAACATGTGGCTTTTTTTTTGGACAAACCTTAAATTTATAGATTCTTACTCTCCATTAAAGGAGAAAAACAATAACATGTGGCTCTAGCAACATATTAGGCAGAGATCTGAATCCAACGGTTTTTGAACCTTTCGAACTGTCGAAGTTATATGATGGAGGAGACGATAGAAGAGCTGGAACATGCATCATTTTTTGGTGGAGGAATATGTCAGAAGTGTAGAAGGCTGGATGGTACAAATGTGGAAAATCTACTATAAATAAAAGGACAATATGAGACTATCTAAAGCTGTCCACGTCTTCTATTATAATCGGCCAATCAGATTGTTCTGTTTTGTCACATCAGCGACATCTGGATGTCATGTGTTTGGGTTTGAGTTTTTCGGCCTGAAACATGTTTGTTGTGAGCCCCATTCGGTCAATCTGCACTTCTCCAATCCTCTCCGCTCATCCTCTCCACTTCGGCGAATTATCTTCATCATTCTCTTTGACCTTCGAACAGTTTTAGTCCATTTCGATTGGATTTTAGGGATTTCTTGTGAATGGTGAAATCCTGCCGGAATGTCACCGGATCAGCTACCAATAGTCACCGTGAAGGAGGAGCCATCACTTGATCTAAAAAGAAAGATTAAGGCTCAACAGACACGTTTTGGGAGAAAAGAAAAATGATTAATCAAAACGGATAATTTCGTAGCCAAATTTAGAGGTTATTTCTACACTCATAGATCTATGTTTATCAGAATACGGATCATCATTTCAAATTTTTATCTAAGAGTAATGGCTGTTTTCCCAAGTCTGATCTTTGCAGATCGGATCTGCGAGTTAACTTCATCAGTGTTTTACCGTTGATCCAAAATGAACCAGGAGACGTGCAAGATATCAATGGAAAGATCTCGATGTCAGCTTTGCAGATCATCTTTCCGATTGTCAAACCGAAGTACAGTTAGAAAGTTATTGATGTTTCTTCTTGGCGAAAATAAAGCTATTGAGGTAAGAGACCGTTTCAGAAGCCTTTTATTATTATACTGATGTTTTTATTTTTTTTATTGGAAGTGTCCATCTCTTGCCATGGATCACGTTTTACATGGTAACTATCTTCTCATTTATACAAATAACCATTCCACAAGAAACTTCTAATCTTTCCACCGATTGCTATAACAATCCAAAAATTGTTTACTATGAAACATGAGGATTCAATGCATATATCATGGACTATACTGCAGGGAGAAATCGTTTGTGTTGGAGACAACAAAATGAGGCTGAATTCTTCTTTCATCTAATCAGGAACCAAAGGCCTCCGAGCTCCAGAGGTACATCAAGTGTAACTATATCTATCTTCCTTTAAAGCTTTGCTTATCTGAATTTCTACTTTGAGGCTAAATTCTTGGCTGAAATAATTTGTGCAGGATTCCTTCAGAAATGTGGTCGGCATGAGTAAGTTAATTTTGTCTCATTTATTTGTTAGGATGCAGAGACTGGTTTGTTAATCTTCGCTCTTTTATATCTAAGTATCTGCTATATTGAACATAACTACATTTTCTTTTCCTGTACATTGAGAGATCATGAAGAATTTAAGGTTAAGATTTATGGTTTAGTTTAGACTGCACCAAAAGTTCATCAAGAAGTCTAGAATGTCCACTACGGTATTCCTTGGCCCCGGTAATAATTAATGTGCGCGATCATCTTGTCATGATCAGGGTGAGATGAGGCGGTTGAGGCGTTTGCTGTTTCATTTTATTATGTGTTGCGTGTATATATATTACTCCCAAACTTATCTGTTTATTTTTTTATGTTGCTCCTTTGAAAAGGTTTTCTATGGAAACAAAGGTCTTAACGATGTAGAAAACTATGAGCTGCCTAGACTGGTTTATGTTCTCGTGAGCAGAGAGCCCAACTATGACCATTATATTAAAGACATAAATTTATTGGTAAATGATTATGCTTAATCTTGGATGGTATTATACTATTAGTAAACTGAAATATAATAGTCTCTCGCAAACTTATTGTTTCTTCATGTTAGTTAGGTTACAGTTTGTTTTACCAAAGTTTTTTATTTTGCCATTAGTTTGGTTATTTCGTTTTGGGTTTTGGTTAGTTTGGTTCCGAATTTTGATTAAGGTTGATATTGTTTGGTAAAAGGAAACTTAAATTTATATATCACTTTTTATTATTACCTTCAAGCAATAATATTATAACATTTGGATTTATGGTTTAGTAACTATTTAGGTTTAATATTTAGGAGGTACGGTTGAGTTTATAAACTTCTATAAATATTTATAAATGATTTTCAAATATGTAGAAATAATTTAGAAGAGTTAGTTTAGTTTTTTTTTCATCACAAGCTTAAAATATTTATAAAAAAAATTATATTCTAAAATTAAATTTAAAAAGCGATATAAAATTTATGATAAAAAGAAAAATATTTTAAATTAATAACATACAATATATATAATCCGTACGTTTGTATATAAATACTTTAGTATATAGCATACACTAGATGGAACTTGAGTCATATTTTGGTCGTTTTTAGTATCTTTTTTCTTTTTATTAGTATCTTACAGTCATTTTTATTATTTTAATACAAAATATTTCATAAATAATAAACTGGATGCAAAATCACAACCCAAATTCCAATAATTATGTTATTACAAATTATGAGAAACATTACATAGACGATATTACAGCCGACAATTCTACATATCTGACGCGGATTCACGTCTGACTGCATCACCCTGAGCCGTCTTATGAGATTCATTCCTGACGATACTCCTTGCGCCATGCTGAAGATTTCTTGTAAGTTTTTTCTCTAATTTTTTGCATAATTATCTTCTCCAAGAATTGAAACCTAACAATTGCATAGTCTGTCATTCGAACTCCAAACCTGGGTGCATAGCCATCTTTGGACATGTTCCCAGAGTACAATTACACAGGTCCTCAAAATTTCACCAAAAATTTAGTTAGTAATTAGGGCCCTTTTAAAAAAAAAATAGGATCTCTTTTTCTAAAATTCTTTTGGTTATTGTTGAAATATATTAATTTTGCACATGAATCTCATAAAGTATGAGATGAGGATGTAAACATTTTAAACTTTGATTATTAGGCCACGGTTCTTCCACGATGTATCATTATTTTGACTACTTCTTTTTTATTGTTTTAAGAATCACAAGTAAAAAATTTTATTCGTTGACCGGAGTACGTGTAAGATATAGGAATCATCTTTTGTTTGCTTCTCATTCATATCTTTAATGCTTCTCATATTCACCTTAGAAAACAAATATCGGGATTAGAAGAACTAAACCAAATCCGACCCAAAAACAATATCAAATCTAAATCAATATTCAGAAGGATCCAAAATTTTATAAGAGTCGAAAGCAAACCCAATCATAGCCTAAATATTTTGGGTACCATAGATATGTGAATCACAACTATATACAAATATATTAATTATTTTATATTTATTATTACAAAATATCTAAATACCTGGAATATCCAAAAAGTATCCTAAAAATGCCACAAGTAACTATCCAAAAATAGCCAAATATATTCAAAACATCAAAAAAATCCGAAATACCTACATGTTCTCCATAAAATATCCAAATTGAACCAATTTTCAGATTAATATTAAATATTTTACCATATATTACGTAAACTTTTATATTATATTTTAATGAGAAATTTCCTATGATAGTAGTCATTTTAAGTTTATTTTCACAATAACAATCTTCAAGAAAAAATGACTAAAAGTGGTTCTACTGAAGATAAATTTACTCTTATATTCCTAAGATTACCTAATCATATATATTTTTTATATCAAGTTGGGGGGGGGGGGTTAAAACTTTTTTAAAAACAGAAAATACATATTGAAAGTTTAAAAATATATTTTTTAAAAAATAGTTTCAAACAGCAGTTTCGAATTTCAAAAAAAAAACTTTTAAATTTTTTTTTTAAAAAAATAAAACATATTATCTGACTTTATAATTTTTTTTTAATTTTACATTATTTATTTATATGTATATATCTAGAAATTAAGGGGTGGAATTTTTTTGGCCTTTTTAATGAAACCTCATTTTTGGTCTTTTTCGTTTTTAAGATTTTTTTGTGACAAAAACATAAAAAGAGACTATTTTGAGACAATTGTCCTATATTATTTTATTTTTGGAATCTATAATTTTAAGATATATCTAAATTTATGATTTTTTACATAATTCTTTTTTTTTAATAAACGAAAACCGGAACCCGAACTGAACACGCAATAATCTGAAACCGAACTAAAATTTATAAATATCTGAATGAAACTTAAATTTCTAACTAAAAAAATCCTAAAATCTAAATAAACCGGAATTGAACCTGAACGGATACATGAACCGCCCACTCATATTTCAACTTCCGAGCAGGTTGATTTTTATTTAGTTTATAAATTGTGTTTGATATCAACTTAGTATTAAGGTCAAAGTATAAGTTGGATTATGCATTGATATAAAGGAAAAATAAATTATTGTAAATAGCTCTTGCTTTCCATGCTTATATAGTGACTTCCAATATTTCGATAAAACTAACGTATCAGAGAGCCTGTTTTTTTTTCAAGAATAATTCAATTATTTTAATATTATTTCATGTAGTTTGGTAAAACATACACCTCAGATGACGTTAACATATACTCCTTCCATATACAAATATACTCCCTCTATATACAAATTTATGATGTTATAGATTTTTATCTTATACAAATGTACGAGGTTTTCGGATATAATGAATACATTTGTGTTTAAAACAAAAACGTAGATTAACAAGTAAAATCATGAATGGTGAAACTTTATTGATAAAATAAAAATAATAATAGTTAAGAGTATATATTTATTGTAGTTAATATATGTGCAAAACCTTAAACTTTACTCTTTCTATTTCAAAAAAATTCATACTTTATAAAAGAAATTAAAAAAATATATTTTTATATTTTCAATACATGATATGTTATGGATTTTATCTACTTTCAACCATGATTTATATATGTTTTTGGAAACAAAATGATATTTCTAGTGTCTTTTTATAGCTTTTACAGGTTCAGGTACTCATTGGTGTAAACTAACCATTATAGATCTAAAATGGAGACTTTATGAAGATATGTGCAAAACGATGTTAAAGATATCGATCGACGTACGTTGAGAACAATCGACCGATAAAAGATTACCCATATCGATCGATTGAAGACATTCACCATCGATCGATACAGAAGTCCTCCGAGTGATTAAATAAAGATTAGAAGCCCTAATTGCTTCACAAGAGTTTTATTAATTACACTTTAAGTCTCTGGCCGCCTGTTAGGTTATATGAAGAGGGTTTTGTACTAGTTTAGACAGACTTCTCTAGAGAGATCTTTTTAGACCTAATTTGGAGAGAAGCATCTAGCTATACTTTGAGAAGAGCTCAGGAGTAGAGAGAGATATCTGAACTACAAATCCAGAGAAGATCTTGAACTCTCTTGATTTACTTATTTCTTTACTGTTTCTCTTGCTATTACTATCTTTAAAGCATTATTCAAACTATTATGACTTTGTCTTTCATAAATATGTTTGAGTAGTCTCTCTTGTTAGATTTAGGTTTCTCATTAAGGTTGACTCATGTATTGAATGAACCATTACTAAGGTGTTTAAAATATAGTTCTTCATCTAGTCATCATAAATGATAAGGATTGATCACCCTTACCTTTGACTTTAGGATCAATATGGACAAGTGAGAACTTGACAATTACCTGAAATCTAAGGCTCTGACTGGTAACCATAACGGGAATATCAGGAACGAATAGGAATAGAATGGATGGGAATAAAATTACGGGAATGAAGAGGAATAACTATTCCTTATCAAATTTAATAAGGAACAAATATGTTTAATAAATCTCTACAATAAAAGGAATGAGGAGGAATAGAAAGGAAAAATTATTCCTTATGAATGGTAAAGTGTTTTAGGAATATTAAGGAACGCGTTGTTCCTCCTCATTCCTTTGGTCACCATTCATAGCCTAAGTAAATTTAGTGAAGACTAGATAACCATTCCAAACTTGTTATTATAACTCGCTGGAAGAAATATCGTTCGACGAGATAATCATCTTGTCGACCGTTATAGCAAAGAGTCATCGATCGATAATTCTATTGAACATCGATCGATACTTTCTTAAGGTCATCGAACCATAGTTGTTGACCCGAGGTCCAGTAGAAGTTAATTCTTTAGATTAAAAACCTTAAAAGTTTGAATCCAGAACTATGAATAATAAAAACTCTTTATAACTTGCATGTTTGTCATACCTGAGAAAATACCTAAGTCTAACTACTTTCTTTCCTCTTAACAAATCAATCAATCAATCGAGCAATTACTTGCTCATCTTCTAAATTATTGTTTTAAACTTGATGTCTAGTTTTATTTCGAAAACGAAATAATCTGTTGTGTAATCCTAGAGTCTCTGTGGATTCGATCCCTAAGTACTACAATTGAACCTCTTTTGATGAGAGCAATTCACTCCTTAGGGTAATTTGAGTGATATCAAATTTGGCGCCGTTGTCGGGGACTCTTTCTCATTACCATCATATTTAGTTTAGAATATAGTCTAGATTTTATTTTTGTTTACTTAATTCCTTTTCCTCTTTCTCAGCTATCACAGGGAACTCAAAATGGAAAAGACAGATTTCGGCCTAGCATCGATCGACGTAACACAAACATCAAGCGATATGTCGAGCAAGGAATCGATCGACATAGTCCAACCAGCATCGATCGACGCAACCCAGCCGGAAGCAGGTAAGTTTTTACTTACCAACCTAGTTAATGAGGAAGTAGTCCAAAACGAACGACCTATTCCAATAGGCCAGCCATTAAG